GTAAAAATGGTTACAATCGTTCAATTTATCCTCAAAGATGAAACCTGCTGCATTAAAATTTCTAGTGTTGTGTTCATATCAGTTAGCCACTAGTAAAACTAAAATTATCTTGATCATATAATACCGAAATCAACGTTTCTTGTAAATTTTAAAAAGTTTAACTTTACAAAGCAACGGCTTATTGAATTTCGCTATACTTGAATTCTATGTAGTCCTGTACGTAGAATACTTGTTAAAGGTGTACATGCATATGTACATGGCATATGATATACGAGCCAGTTAAGGTTATAAATATTACTACATTTTTGCCATGAATTAGCTTAATACAAAAGTCAAAAGTGTAAGAAACAGTTTATATACAGAGAATACAAACTCCGAACTGGAAAACAGTACAAGGAATATGGAAGTAGGTAATAGCTGGTTGCTCATTTATCCTTAACTGGGGAAGAAGTTGGTAAGTTTTAAATAGCTGTTTCATATGCCTTTGAGCCATGTGTATTTCCCAAAGATTATAAGCTATCATTACTGTAAAATGTAGAAAAACGTTCACTTTTGCTTAAAAAGCCTCATTTTATGGGCTTCTCTTAGCGAATTACTGGAAAAAGTAATTTTTTAGTGCTTTAACTGCTAACGTTTTGGTGTTGTAAGACAAAAGTTTATTAAGATAATTATTTTAATCATTTGTACTAAATTTGAGTACTCATGTCAGAACGAATTAAACACTGAAACATAAACATGAAAACATAACTAAGAAGGTGATCTTGAAATCTTAGATATTTGACTGAGGAGATTTTATCCAAAATTCTTTTTAGTTTCATGTATTTAAAATCATTTCTGTATATTCGACTATGCTAATATTTAAACAATTTTTCTAAAACTAAGGTCCAGATGTGTTCTGGATAGATAATAGTCACTACCATTCTAGACTACCTCCTAGCATTTTGTGTTTACGGCATGAATCGAGAAAATTACCTGAAAGATACTGCTTGTAATACAGTTTATTTTACGCAGTCTCATCAGATTACTGTATCTGGCTTTTGCTGAACTTTATTTCAACCAAAAAAAATCACTTTTACTTACCGAACTGTTAATGTACCATCAGCAGAATATGAAACCCATGGATAAGTTTGTACAATTTTGGAATCTGAATTACTTTTCATTAAATTCTTATGTGATTGTAAAATGTTTGCCAATTTTTCTAAGTACAATTTTAATAAAACATTAGACGATTTATTGACTTTCTCACTACTATCTTTTAACAGTGTGATCTTTGATGAGATTGAATCCATTTGTTTGACAATGTTTAAATTTCTGATTGCTGACACTATAGTATTGTCCATTAAATCATGTTCAATTTTATTGAACAATTTACTTTTATAGAATTGTATTAAAGCGGAACTTGGCACTGAAGTAGCTGATGTTATTTGATATAATTTCATAATTGGCATTCTGACCTCGTTAACTCTATTAAAACCAACTTTAAACAGTAAGGACAATTTTATTATCAGAAAATTGACAATCTACTGACGTATTACTGTTAACAGTACTGTCGTAAATTTCATTGTTGTCATTATCATTACCATCTTTGGCATGGTTATTCATTTCTGTATAGGAATTCATTGTGCAAACACTTAGTGGATTTCTTGAAATAAAGTTAAAATGTTTGAGGTTTATCAAACTGGAATAAAGGATATACTGTGGTTGACAATAACGAGGAAATTGTAGTTTTTCATAATTACAAGATACTTCACTAAAATGAAAAAAATAAAAGAAATCAATGAATAGATTATAGATAATTAGAGTGCAAGGATATTTAGAACAGATGTAAAGTTTCATGAGGAATCTCATGAATTACAAATTCTATGATGTATATATGATGACGGTTGAGTATGCCTTTTGTGCAAATTAGCTCTTATGTCCTTCCAACTGATGATTATTTTTGGATGAAAAATGACTTAATATAATATTTCATAGTTAACAACCTAAAAAACGCTTTCGTTTAACGACTACAACAAAAAATTGTAAAAAAGGTTTTCAAGTTGAACTAATATAACTCATGGATTAAATACAGTTTTATTTGTAAAGACTACAAAGAATGAATTTGAATAGTCCTGGGGCTTCGTTCAGTAAATTAATCTCCTCAAGAAAATGCCTAGAATTAAAACTATCGAAGATAAATTAAGTTACAAAAATGATTCTAAGCAAAAAAAAATCTTTGATAGTTTTGATTGTTACCATCAATAAGCTCGGATTAACATGAGAACAGAATGTTGGGACCATTGACTGAATAAAGAAACAGCATCTTGAATTACAGTGATGACAATAAACGTTCTACGGTTTTGAAAATATCAACAAAAAATCTACTCACTATTTCTTCAAAGCGATTGTCAAGCGTGAACATGCCCATTCTATTGTGTTCATAAAACTAGTTAGTATATTTTCATTTATCCAGCCTATTAAATATACAAAGCTTAGATTAAATAAAACTGTTATAACCAGTATTGTTTTATAATTCAAGCTTTCAATTCAATCGATTGACTGCAAAGTTCTGTTATCAAACCACAAATTATTGATGCATTAATCACTGAGTGATTTTATTTAAAACTGATGACTTAGAAATTTGAGAAATTTTTGCACTCTGAATTAGTTTTTTAATAAAGCTAGTTATCGAAATCAAAATCAATAATAGGTAGAGTACAAATTACTAAATAACAGTTATCTTAGAACCAGTCAGGTCACAAAACGTTTACTAATCAATCTAATGAGGTTTCAATCTGTTCTTCTGGTAAAGATTTACACCTTTTGAGTAATATTAAACCTTGTTTTAATCTATGATAAACAGGACTGCTGAGAGTATTTCGAATGCTGCCTCAAGTCGAATATCAATAAACTGGTCAGAAATAACACCGGACTTGTTTATTCATTGATTGAATTTGTTAAAATAGCAAATATTTTATTTTGATCGCGTTTCAAATTTGATTAATCACTAATACCTGAAGCCATTAATGTATATATATACTACATTACAGTATCAGTTAACAGCCATGTATAAATCAGTTTCGTTTCTTAGTCAAGTATCCGACTTCGTCTTTTTTTTCACTCATCATTAATTAAATCTAACGTATATCAAAACTCTCTCCCTTTTGGATGCTGTGTTTATCATGTTTTACTAACCAGATAAATACAAAGGCGTTGTCCACTAGTACTGCCTTTTGATTGAACAATTTTCAAACATGTATATATTAAATGTTAATAGGCTTTAGTTACATAAAATTCATTCATAAAATTATCAAATTAAAACAAGCGTTTTATGAAATGTTAAACTAACCTTTTTGTACACTTTCTGGTGAACTCATTATGAATTGCAAAGTAAATGATCCACTACTTTTACTGTCGACTCTTCGGTCTCCACCTTTTTTATTGATTCATGAATAAAAATTATGTTTATTTAAATAACTCAAAAAAAAGTGGTCGTTTTGGTAAGAAAGAATTAATAAGTCGAGTTATGATAACATTTCTAACAAGATGCTTTTCTAAATTAGATGGTTAACGAGGAATAATTTCATTTTTATTATCATTCAAACAATCTTTTAGAAGCCAAAACAATTTGTATTAGAATAGAAACAGCTAGACTAATCATTTGAGACAATACAAATAGTAGTAATTTTAGTACTAGAACAAACACGGTATCTTTGGAATCGGGAAACAGAGAACCAATGCAAACTATTCTAATTCATACCTTTTTGAGTTCATGGTGCTACTTGAAAGATTCACTTGATCATATACCGAACACAAACTAAAATGTATATATCATGAGTACTAATTTGTATAAAAACTCATTACCTTTCGGTATAAGTGCCGCTTTCTCACTTTTTTCGAAAACATATGCTCTCAGAGTTGTCTGGAGATTATCTTGTATTTTCCATCCAGCTAGGAAGCAGCCGTTAAAATGTACATCACTGTGATTATAAGCTAAATACTTTCTGCATAAAATACTTATTTTGAAAAGTGAAACTATGATTGAATTCTTCCTTGATGATTTTATCAAATCTTTTTTGTCATCTTGACAAAAATTCTAAGCGTATTGAGACATTCTTGTGAAAGTTAACCGCCATTTGTCACACACAATTCTTCACTAGAGAAACAAACAATCCATATTTCACCCTAGTTATATTGGCCTCATTCCGGACTTTTGTTTGATAATGACGCCTTCACAGAATCTTGGCCACAATATTACTCAACATCAAACATATGCCTATGTTCTTTTCACAGTAATTGGACTTGGCAAAAATATGAACTGACGTAAGTTCCCATACCCCACATCAGCAGAGAGAATAAATAAACAAGACAAGAAGCACAATAGTAAGCAAAACAATATCACTATTATCGGTAAACTAAGTACCGAGAATTAAGTGATGCGAAGTATGAGATAACAGCCAGTTTAAGGTTTGAATTATGAAGAATAAGAACATCTGTTTGTCTGTTACCTACTTAAAGTTATATTAGAAGGACATACTCCTTGATTAGAATCTTTGAGATAATTGTAACTTATAGTTCAAGGACTAACTTTGTGTCTTTACTTGACCCTTTTGAGTTTATTTTCAGCGTACTTCCATACTAGCTCATATACAGAATCAGAAGAAGAGGTTGCTGAATACGTCCGGTCCACACCTTAATAGCCTCAGCTAATTGTTCCAGTCCCGTGATTATCAGGCACGGACACACCAAACCACTTCACATGGTAAAAGAATTTCATTGTGTTTCACTGTGTATTATTTCAGAATTTCTTGTCCAGAGTATACTGCACTTAGACTACTACACTTCAAACCAGTACTTGATACATATTATAGCGTTGTTTATAATCATTCAATTCCTTTTGTGGTTATCATGTATAAAAATCCTAATCTAAACTGTTAGGTGCTTGAATGTTATTTATAAAACTAACCAAAACCATCAATAAAAAGATACAATTACTGTAATAAATAAGTTAGCCAGTACTACTCAACGCATAACTCTCCATTAACATTGACCAACTTTTACACTATGGCTAGTCGGGTAATGTTTAGTAGCTTTAAGTACAGTTCCACTACAATTCTCTTCTCGATGTCGAATATTGAAAGAATTATAATCAATTTATCTAATCTCACAGTAATAATGATACAATTCTGAAAACGAAACATCTAAGGATATCATTTACCTGTAGACAGAATATGTTTACTGGAAATCTGTGGACGATTCATGGGTGAAATAGAAATTTTTGATTCTTTCTCGATTGTTAAACTTGATTCATTTTCTTTGTTGACAGAGGAATATTTTAGAGAATCTTTCAAACTATCTAATTTCTGCGTTGATCTTGAAGATTCTGAAGACGTATTATTTAATAAAATTTTTGGTGGGGAATAATCTTTATTAACCTTCTTTGCATTAGATATTCGCTCTGAAGTATACTGCATGTCTGAAAAAAATCGTAAGAAACATCAATAATTTTACTTATCTGTCATTCCTACCAGCACTAACAGAATGAAAAGGTTAACTTTTTATTTTTTAGACCAATCCTTATCTAACTAACTAAAACATACTTCGTGGCAGAATTTCATATGACTATTTCATTCATGATCGATTCAGTTAGTCTGACAGAAACTCCGCTTTAAGTTCGTCTGAGGCTTGACTTTTTGCTGAATTATTTGGTAGTTCAGTAGAGAAGTTGATGAATGAAAACTGGGGAGAATAATGTAGTTGTTTCGTCACATAACAGGACTCTACTAATATAGTTCTTGACAGAGATCGAGTGATTGACCTTTAGGTTTCGGCAAGCACTTTTCTTTCAGTTCATATTTTGAATTTGAAAATGTTAATGATATATTCATTAGGAATACTTGTATAACATCAGTCTATGGTTGCAAATTGAATCCTTGAATAAATATTTTAAACCATCCACACTTACTTACTAGCTATATTTTGAGTAATGGGTAGCAACGAAATACATTTTTTCATTTTAGAATAAACTTGTCACCTGAATGCTTCTAAATGGCTGAAATGATGTTCATAGTAACATTAGCATCTGGTACTTATGGCTTTAAACGTCAGAGCATTACCAAATTCAAATCTGATTATTACAATAAAAATGCAAGTTTCTAAAATTACTGTTCATTGTAAGTTTCAATGTGATTATCAACACTGGTTATCGTGTATATTAACTTGACGAGTCTCATGTAGGACGAAATACACATTTCGGATTCTACTACCAGTTACTACTATACACAACGAAGCCTTCACTAAACTATTTGATGAATCAGATCCTATTGTCTCATGCAATAAATTTCTTTGGAAAATGTGTTTTTTGAATGAATTACAAATAATTAGTAATTGTATACTAAAATATTTTCTAACAAAAAGGGTAAAATAATATCAAAATAAAGCATACCATTTAATTTTCGTTCATTTGGTGTTTTCACATGAATAGTCATGTTTTCAATATTTGTAAGGCTTGATTGTTTTCGAAATACTGAACCGCGTGGTGAAGGTATATAAGTAGTAGCAATTTCAAAACCAAGTGATGAGTGTGATTTTTTGGTTGATTCAAATTTTATTCCATATGCATCAACTTCAGGAGGATTTTCCTTAAATCAAAAGATAATGTAATTAAAACATTTCAAATGATAACTGCGCTTATAAACTAAGAGATACCTTTTTTTCGGTTACATTTATTAATGAATAAAATAATAACTACAGCATCTTTGTCGTAAATGGGATAATCACGTAAAAGAGATTTTAATGCCTTAAGAATCATATTTGGACACTGCATTACTCATAAGTACATTTTATGAATAAAACAAAGAACGTTTAACAAGGTCAAATAATTTTGGTCAAAGTACATATTATTTTTCTTCAACATAAAATACCAGTCAATTTTTTTTAATGTTTATTATGATTGAATTATGCCTACATTATGAATCATCCAGATTAATTTACATTGATAACAAGTAGCAAATGTAGATGATTGAAAACTATAATACAATAGACATGAAAAGGGTCACTTTGTTTGTCACACATCATGTCTAATGGTCAGTCAGTCAGTTGCAACGTAGAACTTCGTACGTATGTACATAAGTTCATGTTGCCATACCACATTATTAGCACAGAGACGCAAATGTCAAACCAAATCCCATAGTGATAAAGATAGTAGAGGTATTAATGTTAATAAAGAAGACTAGGGTTCGAAGATATTATTATTCAAGAAGTATAATTCAGTGAGATAAGGTTAGAAACACACAAAGGTAGAGGTGCTGGCTAATCCAGAAGATTAGGATTTGAGAGAGCTCAAAGAGTTGATGCACTTGCGCCACTGCAAACGATTTTGAGCCATGTCGTTCAAGGTCTCTAACCATTGATGACTTTCGTCTCGCGGACCCCAACCAGGTAGTCTACATCTACCAACATGACTCAGTACACTTGTCAGTGACTTCATGGATTTCTGCCATGTAACAGCACGAGAGACCAAATTGGTCAAAATCAAATCCTTCCTACACCCCCTAATGTCTCTCTTATCTCCACAACTAACTCTTCTCACATGTCTAATGGTATGATCAAGACATCAGGAATACAATTACAAGGCTAAATTAGCCGTTGTCAGTTAATGAAAATTGACATGGACTATTGAGTTTGAAGCTTGAACAAATCAACATCATCAATCACAATTGAAACACATTCTGCATACAAGTGTAAAATTAAAATGATATACCATTTAACTTCGATATGATAAAAACAAACGTTTTTTGTAAGTTAGATAATGTCTGAACTCCAGATGTTTTCACTTAAAGTCAATCTCAAACTTGCAGAATTACACTTATGTTCGTAAGGTTGTAATAATCTACTAGTTTTTAGTAAGCAAATTAAACCTTTACGAAATATTGGGCTTAATTTCTCAATACATCACTGATCCCTGCAGTCGAAGCTAACCAAGTAGTACCAGAATCAGCCAGTGGTTTTAGACCACCTTATTTATTTTGAATCGCCAAGCTTATTAGACGTAATAATACCGTTGAGCGTTATCGTAAACACTGCATGTAGCGTTAGTTTCAAACAGATGTATATACGTATTCAAACACCTAGACTATAAAACTATTAACCATGATGGCTCACATTACTCGCTACATACACATTCACTAGCATAGTGAAAGCATATCATATCACTTATATTACTGTTTTGTGAAACATGTTATCGCAATCGTTTCATCCAAGCTCTTTTTTATCATCTCGGGGGATATTGATTTTTGTACGTAATTATATTCGGTTAATCGTGATTCGTCAATCGTACATATATATATAATCGTATTATATACAACTACTTCAAAAGTAAGATGACTTCTGTGATATTTTTGTGGTTTTTATTTATCGATAACTGTCTTACACACAGTCTTCCTGTTTATTCAATATTTAACACACGTACATTTGTTCACCGCCTGTTATTGTCTTCACACTCTCATTCATTTGTGACTCCTAAATCTGTAGATTTTCTTTTAGCCAAAGACGACTGATGATAATAGTTATTTTATAAAATATAAAGTTATACTGCTATAAGAAGAATGAGACACTTTATAGAAACTAGAAGTACTTATGTGTGATTATCTTTCAAGCGACAACTTGTTAGGCGTCGTTAAATTACTTAACTGAAAATTCCTGTTGCTTTATCACGTTTCAGCTGTTCACTAATAACGAGGTTTAAATTAAGACAGAAACGTCTACTAGTTGAAATTGAAGGATCGGACAGTTGTTGAATTCGAATAACCTCACGTCTGTTACTGAGACCTTTAAGTTGTGGTTTTTGTTAGAAATAGGAGGGTAAATGAAAACAACAAAAATTATTCGCCAACTAATTAAGACATAGCTCTAATATATGTTTATCAAGGTAAAAATGTTTGATTTACGATATACAAACAAGTTTTCGAGTCTGAAATATTGGATGTCAATTGTCGTACTGTGATTAGGCGCTGAAGACAGAAGAATTCTGCATGATCCAATCAAAATCAGAATAAATTGTAACTGTTTTGTGCAAAATGAGTTCTGTCGGAATGGATTAGTATTTAATAAAAGTTCAATATCTAACATTTCCGATCATTTTTTTTGTCTTCATTCATTCGGTAGGTGTTGCATATATGAAAGTAGTTTACACTAAAGATCTCATTTCAGTTATCTAAATCTATCTACATATGTCTTCTATGAATACGCCACTGTAGCAAGATAATACAAGCAAATCAACTGAAAGTCAGAGCTAATAAAAAACATCGTCAATGAAGATTTTGCTTTTAAATGCAACAATCAATCAGCAAATGAACAGAAACATTCTCGAAAATCCTTGCTATCTCTCACACACACACTGAACATCTTAAAACCGGTACACTATGAAATCATGGACACATATCCCCTATCTCAAGTACTATATTATCATTGATATTAAAAATTAACAAATTTGTGTTTATCAAATACGCTCCAACTAATCGATTAAAGTAATCTTCATATACTTTCGTTTATCCTCTAAAGAGCATAAAAAAATAATCTTATTAAAATAAAAAAAAACTCTTAGACGCATATCACAGGTTTATACTCGATTGTTGAATTATTTACTTGAATCCATAGATTGTAAGCATTTTTAATTGCAGGCAATTGCCAATCTCTTGGAGAATGATCCACCATCGAAATCAATTCATCCCATGTTTCATCCAAACGATAATCTAATATTCTAGGATGTTTAATTTCTCTGAAATTTTGCTGATATAAACAAGTTAAAAGATCTTTTATAATTGTTCCACTTATTTCAACCCATGTATAATAATCAAATTGTTTTGAAATTAATTCCTTATTTATTAAATGTGTTGGTTTTTCTCTTGTGGATGTCAATGTTATAGAACGATTAATATTCTTCGTAGAACTATGATTACAGTTTGTACCATTTAACAACTGATCATTTGTATTGTTATTTTTTAAATCAACATTTTCTGCATTTGCTTGTACTTCTTTATTCTTTTCAATAATGTTTACATCATACATCAAAGATGTTTTATTTCTATTGATTTCTTGTCTTAGTGGTTTAACTTGATCAAAAAAGAAACATGTTAGATTATTCTTTTGATACATGGTTTAGTAATTGAATGCAAGTAAAATATAATTTTGTTTGAACATATTTTTAATATAATCTAAGGTCAGTAACCATATTGAGAGACAACAAATATAGGTTTAGAGATTAGATCGAATTCAATCCATTGACAACGAATGCACAGAGTTATTAAAAAAGACAAATATTATTGGTTATTCGAATGGTGCATTTACATATATATATATATATATATATATATATATATATATATATATATATATATATATATATATATATATATATACAAGTTAGTAGATAGCATAGTAAAGATTTTTATCATGTCCAATAGGTAAGTAGACTTAGTTCATCCCCAATCAACACAAATAATTATCTAATTCCATGATATCTATGACAACAACATTTGATGAAGTTTTTGTCATGAATAATAGCAAGAGTTGGCTCAAATGAATATCAACACCGTAGGCTATTGGCCGATATGGTTGATTTTGATTTGTGCAGTTAATTTGGAGAATTTACCATGTTGCTGAACCAATGAGCCTGAATTATGCAATCATATTTTGGTTAGAAGTTAAAGTTGACGAAAACTGACAAGTAAAATTATTTGATTCTCGCATATTAAATGCTTTCTTTTGATGTTACTATGATCTATTGAAACCTGAGTTAGTAGAAAACTGAATTAGTCGTCCAATATATTGGCGAAGTGCAATTGTTTCGGTAATTTCAATAACATTTTAATTGATATAATTTCACAAAATACCTCTTTTGTAAAACAACTATTGATACAAGTCTTGTTCAAGTTTCATGACTGAGTAGTGAAAACAGCTAATGATTCATGAATACTGACCACGTTCAAATAAATTGAAGGTGTAAATTCTTTGAAGGTGGCCTCAGGTGAAGTGAAATATTATATGCCAATGCAATCTTATTTCTTAGGACAGTTCTTAGACAATTTGTCAATTGTTAGTAGAATATCATTTAGAACGGTTATATAGTTAGAGGAATTCTCAAACACTTATCTTAATTTCAAGTGCTTTGTTACCAGAATACTCTAAATAGGCAATCTATTGTCAGATTAGCACTGTACCAAGAAAGTTAAAATACACAATCAGATATCAATGTTACATGTCATATTATTTAGTCAAGAAAACATTCTCCTTTTTTTTCTTATTACTCGCAGTTACACGGCATGTATCATTTGCAATTTATTCAAGTAGCGCAGGATTTATTGTGCATCTACTTATCCTTAACGAACAAATGAGGGAGTACATCGGTAAGAATAAAATACTCAATGAAGCTCAACACGGGTTTCGGAAAGGCAGGTCGTGTGCATCTAATCTTCTCATTTCATGGGACAGATGGACATCCTGTTTGGAATGTAAACTACCGGTGCACCTAATATTTCTCGACTTTGCAAAAGCCTTTGACACAGAACCCCACGCATGCCGAATCTAAAAGGTTATGGGAATGGGCTTCACCGACCTACTCCCATCTTGGCTCAGAAACTACTTTGAGAATAGAAAGTTTCGCACCAAGGTAAATAGGGTGCATGCGAGCTAGAGGGTATCCACTTCGGAAGTTTCACAGGGAACCAACTGCAGAATCTATTTTGAAGGTTTCGTTTTTGGAAAATCCCTCCATGTATATATATTTGCGTTATGATATGACTGACTCTTTCTGTTGATAGTTTGGTACTCAATTTGATTCCATTTTGAGATTTTATCATTGTATAATGTTATTATGTCTATATCTTGTACTTATATTGAAGTTTTTATGTTTCCTTCTGAACTGTATACATGTTGTTTAAATTTGATATTTAATATGGCTACAGCCATTTTTGGATTGATACTCTAGCAGTAACGGACTGGAAGCACTTATTCTTCCAGAAACGGAACCTATTGTGGTAATTGGAAACTCGAAGGTGTAATATTGTTTTTGGTAATTGTCTGTATTTTCCTTGTTATCATTAAATAGAACCGTTTTCTCCGAGAATTATCGTTTTGGTTCCGAACTGGGTGAGACGCGTATGAACCTGCACTTTTCGAGTTAGAGGCGAACTGCAAGAGTAAAAATAACTCTATGCCATCTTAGGCCCACTTGTCTTCCTGATATTTATTAACGACCTGTTAGGCTTAGTTAGCTCAATGGCATTGATACGTATGAACCTGCACTTTTCGAGTTAGAGGCGAACTGCAAGAGTAAAAGTAACTCTATAGTCCAAAAACAATAATTGGAAGAAGATTCTTTGGATTACTTATCGTTTACTGTTTCTAAACAGTATTTGGAAGACGATCTTTTGGATATTTTACTGGCAATTGGTTCCTAACGATATTGGAGAAAAGTCTTTTGGATTTCTCATTGCCGACAATAATTGAAGAAGCTTTACCGGTGAAATTTAATATTTGGTCTTTGTTGTTTCCTTTCCACTGAATTTCTATTGATCATGAGTTCTCCTAAGAAGGCAAACACGAAGAGGGATGGAGTCCTTGAAGTATCGCGGGATACGAGGCAAGTACCTTATGAAACTTCATAACATGTGAGAAATCGCTTGGGTTGCAGGAAGACTATGAGCTAGTTGTGGTGCAGACTGTAGGTGGTAACAAAACGGCAGGGAGTACGAACGCCACTTTCGAAGTGCATTCTTTAGATCAGTCGGAACATATTGTGATCGAAAAGGCGTTGATCGTATCTAGCCTACCAAGACATAAGCCCACGATGTCAGCAATGAAGAATCTAAATAATTGGTCGCAATTAAATGATATACCAGTCGAAAGCCTAGACTCTGAAGACGTTTTAATGCTCATTGGTTGTGACGTACCAGAAGCATATTGGTTGTTAGAACAGCGGCTAGGGGGAAGGAAGGCACCGTATGCGGTAAAAACACTGCTCGGATGGACTGTATTTGGACCTACATCATACCCGTGATATAGAAAAAGAGTTGTTAATCATATTAGTAGCGTGCAAGTTTTGGAGGACCAGATACGTAAGTTGTATGATGTGGAGTTTGCTGATGTCTATTCTAGTGACAAGTTAGTGTCTGTAAAAGACCAGGTAGCCCTTGAACTCGTGGAGAGAGGTACACACTTCGTCGACGGCCATTTTGTAGTTCCGATACCATGGAAACAGGACCCCTTTACGAAAGGGACTAATTATGAGGTAGCTAGTAATAGGCTACAGAGTTTGAAGCGAAGATTGATGAGAGACGATAGGTTGCGTGTCAGGTACGCTAAATGTATTGAAGATAACGTCCCTTAGGGCTATGCGCAAAGGGTACCTGAGTTGCATTTGGAGTCGGACTATCGTCCCCGGTGGTATTTACCTCACCATCCCGTGTTGAACCCCAAAAACCAGATAAGTTGAGAGTGATCATGGACTGTGCTGCTAATTTTGCTGGAATCTCCCTAAACGATATGATCTATCAAGGGCCGGACAGCACCGCTGATCTGGTGAGCATACTATTGCGTTTTCGCAAGGAAGCAGTAGGGGTACCGGCAGATGTTGAGGAAATGTTTATGCGATTGAAGGTACCCGAAGGTGACCGAGGAGCGCTAAGGTTTCTGCGGTTGGAAAGTGGGAACACATCCAAGTAACCTTCTGAATTTCAGATGACCTCTCATCCATTTGGAGCCACTTCATCCCCGTTTTGTGCGAACTTTGCTATGAATAAAACAGCTCAAAGCTTCTCGAGTGATTATGAACGTTATGTTGTGGATGCGGTCAAGAACAACTTTTACGTCGATGACTGTCTGATATCATTTTCAAGTTGAGACAAAGCCAAAAAGTTTGTCAGGCAGATAAGTGAGTTGTTACTAAGAGGAGGATTTAACTTAAAAAAGTGGGTTACTAATTCAGAGGAAGTGATGTCTATATTACCGGATACAGGTAACAAGGAGTCATTGTTACGAGTATCGGTGGATTGTACTGTTACTCATTGAACGCTTGGTATAGAATTGGATGTCGAACAGTACGTATTTAAGTTCCACTTTGATGCACCGGATAAGCCCGTGACAAGGAGAGGAATCCTATCGGTTGTCTAGTCCCTGTTCGATCCTTTGGGTCTGATCGCTCCAGTTTGCCTTACGGCTAAACTACTTTTGAGAGGTTTATGTAAGTCTCAAATAGGATGGGATCAACCTCTCGACGAACCATACGTGTCCACGTGGCTAGATTGTTTAAGTTTCATGCGTCAGATGGGTCATGTCACGGATGCTCGAGGTATCACGAACAGAGTCGACGAACCTAACGCGAAGGTGGAGTTGCACTTATTCAGCGACGCCTCTGAGATTGGCTACGGAGCGGTTACTTATGCTCGAGTAAATTATACGAAGACACAACCCTATTGTATCCTGTTATACAGCAAGTCTAGGGTAGCGCCTATCAAGCAAGTTACGATACCGAGATTAGAAACGGCGGCAGCGGTTTTAAGTGTGAGGTTGAGTGAGTTAAAGGCACCAGCACGGTTAAGAGAGTAATAGGAAGGTGTGAAACTTGCCGAAGGTTTACTCTAAGTCCAGGGAATCAGCAGACGGCGCCGCTTCCAGTTTACAGAGTGTAAGGAGGTTGGTATAGCTTCTCGACGATAGGAGTAGACTACTTTGGACCCCTTCTGGTCAAGTGGAATAGGTCACTAGAAAAAAGATATGGATGTGTGTTTACCTGCCTACAGACGCGCGCAGTACATATTGAGATGACATACAGCCTGAATACCGATTTATTTATAATGGCTTTGATACGTTTTATCGGAAGAAGAGGAAGGACAACAGACATGTATAGTGACAATGGATCAAACTTCGTGTGGGCAGTCACTGAACTAAAGAGCTTCGTGCGACAGTGGAATCAGCAGAAAATAAGTAAGCAATTATCATGAAAACAAGTTCAATGGCATTTTAACCCTCCACTAGCCAGCCATAGAGGTGGAGTTTGGGAACGAATGATTAGATCTATACGAAGGCTGCTATTATTGATCACCAGAGAACAGGTGTTAAAGGACGAAACCTTGGGCACCTATCTGGTTGAAATTGAG